CTGGATAGAGTTCTACTTTTGATCCTGCAAATATTAAAGGAAGCAGAGGTAGGAGCTGCAATTTGACATATTCGCATTGATCCATGTTGTACTGCCCCCAGTCTCCCCCATTCCTCTTATTTTTATTATGAGCTTTTTTGTAGTTCCTGGAAAGCACAAAGACACACTGACATACCAGACTGTTTAGGAACACTGCCACAACAAAAGCATCCGTCAGACTGACGTGTCCGTGCAAATACCAGAAGCAAGAATACCTACAAGTCACAACAAGACAAAAGAGGCCGCCTGCTAAGCATTAATATTGCTATTGGGAGAAATGTGTCACATTTTCACAATGTGGTTTTTTAAATCTTATCCCATCAGAACTTCTTAGAACGCCCTAAAGGCAACAGATCATTGTTCCACCCCCTTACTCTCGCTCTGAGAGTCTGACCTCACGGTTTACTGTTAAAATAATAAACCACAGCAGCTGCCAAAGACTTGGTTTGGCTGCTTTGTCTAACGTGCAGTTTGCATGTTCTTGTTTTGTTTGTGAATGTGTGGGCCTTCTTCTTTTTTCGAACACAGATTGAGGCTGATGGAGTATTTCTACCTCGGTGGTCTGATTCCCAACACACTCATCTGGTTGCCAGCAGCACAGGGGCTTTGAAACGTCTGTGCCCTAAAAAGGAAACCCATTAAGGTCTAACCAATACCTCACTATGTGATGAAAAACAATCTCTTTACCACTAGGTCTGGTTCAGCCCACAAACCGTATGTCTGGCCACAGCCTCATTAAGCAATGCTTCCCCCAGCTCTGGTCCTGATAGGACCACTATTCTGGGTGTTTACTCCACTGATCTCTGTTTATTCCCTGGATCGCTGATTGCCCGTTGATAGTACAGGGTTGAAGTGAAGCCAGCGGCCGCCATATTGGTACTCCCTAGTTAGTTAAATCCAATAGATTTTTTCTTATTTTTAATGGAAATTGTCTTGTTCCATTGACAAAGTGTCTCATTTACTGCACTTACTTTAAGAAAATAAATACTTTTAGGTTTCAGTTTTTTACAGTGTGCAGGTATACCAGTGGTTCTTAGTTTTAGTCCGTGAGGCAGACACCCTGTCTATTTTTAAGGCTAGGCTTAAAACTTTCCTTTTTGATAAAGCTTCTAGTTAGAGTGGCTCAGGTTATGCTGCTATAGGCTAGCCTGCAGGAGGACATAGGGACCCCTTTTTCCTCATTCTGCTTCATTCTCTCCAATTCTGCAGTATTTTTAGTTCAACCCCTAATGAGTGTTCTCTTTCTCTTTTGATTTGTCTCCTTAAAGTGCCTTGAGATAATATTGGTTGTGAATTGGCGCTATTGAGATAATCATAATTGAACTAAATTATGCAATTTCACAGACATTTCTTTCTTTGTTTGGGGAACAAGTAATGTCTCCTATAACATTTCCAGGATTAAAGGACTAATGTCTCAGCATGATCTGGAAAAACTAATCCATGCGTTTATTTTTAGTGGAATTGATTACTGCAACAGTGTTTTCACAGGTCTGCCTAAAAAGTGGATCAGACAGCTGCAGCTGATCCAGAACGCTGCTGCCCGTGTCCTCACTAAGACTAAGAAAGTAGAGCACATCACCCCAGTTCTAAAGTCCTTCCACTGGCTCCCTGTATCTCAGAGAATAGACTTTAAAATACTTCTGTTAGTCTATAAATCTCTGAATGGCTTAGCACCTAAATACATCACAGACTTGCTATCAGTGTATCAACCCTCCAGACCACTCAGGTCTTCTGGCTCCAGCTTGCTCTGCAGACCTAGAACCAGAACTAAACATGGAGAAGCAGCATTTAGTTCCTATGCTCCACTTATCTGGAACAAACTTCCAGAAAACTGTAAAAGTGCAGAAAGCCTGAGTTCCTTTAAATCAAGACTAAAAACACATTTGTTTAGGATTGCCTTTGACTGTTCTAGTTAAACAGTTCAAGTAAAACATATTTTCTTTAGTCCAACTGTTTTTAATATTTTTTTTCTGCATTTTTTATTTTATTTTATTTATTTATTTATTTTTCCTACATGCTTTGATTCTGTTTTATCTTCCTGTATTTTAATCATGCAGAGCACTTTGCATTGTCTTTGTACTGAATTGTGCTATACAAATAAATTTGCCTTGCCTTGCCTATAAGAGGATACATACTGACACTTGATTCAAAGGAAGTGTTTCCCCAAAAAAACTGTGCTACGGCGTCCGTAAATATCCAGTTATCATAAGGTTTAGGAAGGATGCAGAGATGAAATGATTGGCGTTGAATGTCCAGCAATACCAGAACTTAAGCAAAGGGTCCTAAGAACAGGCTGGCTGAAGCTGGTTGTTTTACTGTAGCTAACTGTTGTTAGCTACAGTAAAACAAGTCCTGTACCTGCATAGACTGAAAGGCAAGCAAGAAATACAGCTTGCAAATACTCTCAGAAATAATGACTTTAACTCGATAGAAAATGTCCTGTAGGCTGATGAAGCTAAAGTTGAAGCTTTTATCCATAAGAAAAAAACATAGTATTTTCAAAGAAACAAAAGGAAAAGGTTGAAAATATCAGCTGTGCTGCTGCCATCAACACCTTTGTTTCTAGATGTTGGAGCTTGGCCTGTTTTCCAGTGTAGTCCTGTTTCTCTGACTGTGACTAACTGGATGTGCTCTCTTCATCCTCTGACATGGGAGCTGGCTCGGAGCTCGTCTGCCTGGCTGTGTGTTTCCTGGACGGGGCCGCCTGTGGAGCTGGTTGACAGTTGCCTTTTGTATCTATGCTTCTTTTTCTATGTCTGCTTCTGTCTCCTTGAACCCCAGTGGGCCTCAGCAGATGGCCGCTCACACTGAGCCTGGTTCTGCTGGAGGTTTCTTCCTGTTCAAAGGGAGTTTTTCCTCTCCACTGTCGCTACAAGCATGCTTAGTGTGTGGGATTGCTGAAGAGTCAATGAGTCGATGCAATCAGCTGGTTTTCCTTAGATAGAAAACTTTGAATCAATCTGACTGGATGATCTAGTGAATTAAAAAAGTGAAGTATAGTGGTGGCAGCAGCGCATTTCACAGAACAGATAGTAGGGATTGGACAAGAATATTCTGTTAAAACTCTGAGGCAACAAGGCATCTGCCAGGAAGGGACAAACATCCTGAAACCTACTGAGAAATTGTTAAAACATCTATATGTTGAAATAAAGTCAGTTTAAGGAAACTATTCAACGTCAAAACGCCCTTTAACACCAAACTGTTGAAACTGTGTTATTAACTCACCGAACATTATTTAAACTTTTTTTTTTTTCCTGGGGAGGATCCTAAAGTCCTGATCTCCAAAACACCATCCACACACACGCACACACACACACACGCACACACACACACACACACACACACACACACACACACACACACACACACACACACACACACACACACACACACACACACACGTTCTGCTATATGTAGTGAGGACCATGTGTTGACTCCCATTGACTTCCATTGCTTTTTAGTCCTTTTCAAGCTTTTCTATGCCCTAACCCTAAAACTAACCCCAAACCTAAACATTACCAATGGATACCTCACCCTACCCTAACCCTAATCCATTGACACCTTAGCCCTAAACATAACAGTTGGCAAAATTGCTCATGAGGACCGGCAAAATGTCCTCACTTTGCAACAACTGGTCCTCAATGTGATGGTGAAATTGGAAAAATGGCTAAACTGGTAAACACACACACGGTAGTGTTTTTTTGACTTATGGGGGCATTACATTGACTTCATTTTCTATGGCCTAACCCAGACCCAAACCCTAACTATTACCAACATATATCTTGGTGAAGATTCTCAGTCATGCAGGTCATAGTCAGTCCAAAAAAAGTGAAAAAACTAAGAACTTTGTTTCCAACTTTGAAGACGTTTCTCTTCTATCCAGGAAGCTTTTTCAATTCAAAATGTCAGAAATAGCGTTTAGTTCCAGGTTTTATCCAGCAGCCCAACAAAGTCTTGTTTTGGTTTAGAAAACATGCAAATAGAAACGGACGAACTGGTCATTCTAAAGGGGTGGACCCCTTTGTTTTCATAAGCTATGTAAAGATTTATGCAAATGTATGTAATAGTTTAAAATATGTAGCCTAGAGAACATAACCATAACCTCTCTCTGGTATTTATAATTTCTATCTAACATGCTGAGTCTAGCTTTAACTTTTCCTTCCTTAGCTTTCTCAGTTCTCCCTCTGCACACAGGGGCAGAGTGAGAGGAAGCAGACTGGCAGCAGGCAGCAGCCCGGTACCGGTTGAAACCTGTTTGGCTTGCATCTGAGAAGACACTTCCTCCGCCCAGTGCATCATCAACCAAACCAGAAAGAGCTGGAACTTATGTTCTACTGCATGCACAAAGACAAAGAAAGGAATCGATTACTTAACAGAGTCTTTTTATTTCCCAGTTAAGATGTTTGCAGACAAAATATTTAAATAGTTCGAATCTGATGCTGCGTTTAAGTACTATTATATTGAATCTGTTTTCTTGGTTTGCCAATATTCTACTTTTTCTTGTAGCTTATTTAATAGGGGGTGGGTGACTTATTTAACTACAGTGTCGGACATATTGAACAAACAAACAAACAAAAAAAAAATAATCTTTGCATTTTTGTTTTTTAATGAACCATAATCCTTAGACTATGAACGAAACACTTTTTTTGCTCTCCGTCTTTCTGGTACACTTCTAGAATGTCTGAAAATGTGGGATTTTCGGTTTTCATGATAGAAATTTTAAGTGTAAGTGTGTTCATTTGCTTAGGTGTGAGTAAAATACGATACTAAATAGTCACGTTGTAATATTAAACAGTATAATTTAGTTTTTTTTTTTAAGCGTTTATGGTCAACGGTGACATTTGATCGTTTTTACAGTGATCGGTTAGGAATTGTAAAACTCTTTTTCCCCACGGTCAGTGAACGCAGCATGGTGGTAACTAGCAGGCGGCGTCTACGGGAACTCGCTCTTATCTCACCGGCCAATAGGAAGCGGCGGTAAAACCCACAAACAGCGCTGTGCGCGGCTCCATATTGGATCTGAATCCTCCCAGAAATACTCTCCTCGGGCGGTCTACCTGCTCATGTTATCTAACACACGGACCAGAAGCCCCCAGTGATGAGGGCTGGCAGCCGGCAAACAGCGGCGTCACCGACAGACCTCCCCCGGGACTCTGCTTCTCCGAGCGGCGTCATTCCTGCTGCGAGCGCCGTAATAACCGGAGCTCAGAAATTAGGTCAACGGCGCACCTGAGGAGCGGCTGCAAAAAGTGGCATGCAGAGTGAGAAAGAACCACTGGGACTGAGATAGGGCTGCCAGTGAGTATACTTCCCTTTAAATACGCATAGAAACTATGATAAAGTATAGATTTCTTTTTTTTTATGTATTAACGCCGAAAAAAAGGAAAAAACAAACTGAGTGTTGAGTTTAACATGTCCAATCAAGTCACCTGACCCTGTGAGGCAGCATAGTGCGGGGAAAAACTGCGACGTTCAAAAACTGAGAGGAAAAGGCCAATAGTTTAATTATCATCTTTGGAGGAAGGAAAAAACAAAAATGTTTTAGGAATTAAAATGTGTTTATATGGGAAAAGCCTCGTGATGTTGAGCAGCATAGAAGTTACAGTTTATCTGCCTGAACTTGACTTGCGCTCCCGTTACTGTCACGTGGGAGCTTCATTTTCGCACATTGTGCCTTTTTTTCTTCTTCAAAGGTTAACCGAGGATGGCTTGTTCCGCCTTTTCCTGGGCTCTAATACACGCGCGCGCGCACACCTGTTAAAGCAGCGAGGAAGTTGATCATTAAGCGAATCCCGTCTGAACTGTTTAGACTCAGGTGTCGTTTTAGTTTTGCGTTACTGGGAATGAAAATGAGCCGCTGGCAAGAAATTAATCCCGAGGAGGAACTTTGCTTCCCTGAGATATTTTAAAGGTACGGAAGAGGATCAGGGCCCCTGAAAAAACAACAGAATTATTTTTTTTAATTGATTTTTTAAAATTATATTTCAGTTTAATATGGGCGAAAAGTCAGAATTCTGACTTTAATCTCGGAATTCTGACTTTAATCTCAGAATTCTAAATTTAATCTTGGAATTCTGACTTTAATCTCGGAATTTTGACTTAAATCTCAGAATTCTGACTTGATTTTTAAATTTTATTTCAGTTTAATATGGGGGAAAAGTCGGAATTCTGACTTTAATCTCGGAATTCTGACTTTAATCTCGGAATTCTGACTTTAATCTCGGAATTCTGACTTTAATCTCGGAATTCTGACTTGATTTTTAAATTTTATTTCAGTTTAATATGGGGGAAAAGTCAGAATTCTGACTTTAATCTCGGAATTCTGACTTTAATCTCGGAATTCTGACTTTAATCTCGGAATTCTGACTTTAATCTCGGAATTCTGACTTTAATCTCGGAATTCTGACTTGGTTTTTAAATTTTATTTCAGTTTAATATGGGGGAAAAGTCGGAATTCTGACTTTAATCTCGGAATTCTGACTTTAATCTCGGAATTCTGACTTTAATCTCGGAATTCTGACTTGATTTTTAAATTTTATTTCAGTTTAATATGGGGGAAAAGTCAGAATTCTGACTTTAATATCAGAATTCTGACTAATCTCGGAATTTTGACTTTAATCTCTGAATTTTGACTTTAATCTCTGAATTCTGACAGCTAACAAACATGTTAGCATCAAGCCGTAGCCATGTCTGTTTTAGAGACTAAACTAGCTCTCTGGATTTAATCACCTTCTGCTCTTCCATTAATGAAATAGCATCACCAGGGATCCTCCGGTCCAAAATTCTGAGATTAAAAAAAAAACTGGCAAGGGATACAAATATATTAAGAGAGCTGCATGAAGTGAAATTTCCATTCATTTGGATTATCGTTAAAATCAAAATTAAAATCCCTTAGCATAGCAAAAAAAGTCCACTCAGCAAGGAATAACTTTATTACTTTATTATTTCCAAAGTAAAAAAACAAAAACTAACTGAAAGTTCCTAATTATGAGATGCAAAGTAGTAATTTAAGATGCAAAGTAGTAATTTAAGATGCAAAGTAATACTTTTAAGATGCAAAGTAATAATTTTAAGATGCATAGTAATAATTTTAAGATGCAAAGTAGTAATTTAAGATGCAAAGTAATTTTAAGATGCAAAGTAATACTTTTAAGATGCAAAGTAATAATTTTAAGATGCATAGTAATAATTTTAAGATGCATAGTAATAATTTTAAGATGCAAAGTAGTAATTTAAGATGCAAAGTAATTTTAAGATGCAAAGTAGTAATTTAAGATGCAAAGTAATTTTAAGATGCAAAGTAGTAATTTAAGATGCAAAGTAATTTTAAGATGCAAAGTAGTAATTTAAGATGCAAAGTAATTTTAAGATGCAAAGTAATAATTTTAAGATGCAAAGTAATAATTTTAAGATGCAAAGTAATAATTTTAAGATGCATAGTAATAATTTTAAGATGCATAGTAATAATTTTAAGATGCATAGTAATAATTTTAAGATGCATAGTAATAATTTTAAGATGCAAAGTTAGTAATTTAAGATGCAAAGTAATTTTAAGATGCAAAGTAGTAATTTAAGATGCAAAGTAATTTTAAGATGCAAAGTAATAATTTTAAGATGCATAGTAATAATTTTAAGATGCATAGTAATAATTTTAAGATGCAAAGTTAGTAATTTAAGATGCAAAGTAATAATTTTAAGATGCAAAGTAATAATTTTAAGATGCATAGTAATAATTTTAAGATGCATAGTAATAATTTTAAGATGCATAGTAATAATTTTAAGATGCAAAGTAATAATTTTAAGATGCATAGTAATAATTTTAAGATGCATAGTAATAATTTTAAGATGCATAGTAATAATTTTAAGATGCAAAGTAGTAATTTTAAGATGCAAAGTAGTAATTTTAAGATGCAAAGTAATTTTAAGATGCAAAGTAGTAATTTTAAGATGCAAAGTAGTAATTTAAGATGCAAAGTAATTTTAAGATGCAAAGTAATAATTTTAAGATGCATAGTAATAATTTTAAGATGCATAGTAATAATTTTAAGATGCATAGTAATAATTTTAAGATGCATAGTAATAATTTTAAGATGCAAAGTAATAATTTTAAGATGCATAGTAATAATTTTAAGATGCATAGTAATAATTTTAAGATGCAAAGTAATAATTTTAAGATGCATAGTAGTAATTTTAAGATGCAAAGTTAGTAATTTAAGATGCAAAGTAATAATTTTAAGATGCAAAGTAATAATTTTAAGATGCATAGTAATAATTTTAAGATGCATAGTAATAATTTTAAGATGCATAGTAATAATTTTAAGATGCAAAGTAGTAATTTTAAGATGCAAAGTAGTAATTTTAAGATGCAAAGTAATTTTAAGATGCAAAGTAGTAATTTAAGATGCAAAGTAGTAATTTAAGATGCAAAGTAATTTTAAGATGCAAAGTAATAATTTTAAGATGCAAAGTAATAATTTTAAGATGCATAGTAATAATTTTAAGATGCAAAGTAATAATTTTAAGATGCAAAGTAATAATTTTAAGATGCATAGTAATAATTTAAGATGCAAAGTAGTAATTTAAGATGCAAAGTAATAATTTTAAGATGCATAGTAATATTTTGACTTTTAGAGTGTAAATTATGAGATACAAAGTTTGAAAACCGAATATCTCACAATTATGACTTTCTATGTGGCATTTCTTTATTTTCTTTTGGTGGAAACGGGCTTCCATACTTTATTGTATTTTTCTTTAAGCAAAAATATATCTTTCCTGCACTAGTCTACAAATTCTGCCAATTTAGTTATTTTTAAATAAGGAATCGTTTTTATGATAAACTAAGTTTGCTTCTTAAAAACTTTTGATAGAAATTAATTTCCTATAGAGGAGGTCTGCATAAGTTTTTATTTTTTAATTCATCAGTTTGTATTGTTTAAATAACTGTGCTGCAGCTTGTAGTATCTATAAATAGGAAACTAAAATAGAAAGCTGACTGCAGTTTGCACCAACAATCAATATCAGGGCCTGACAACATGTGGCCAACATGTGGCCTGAGTGAGAGCATTGATGGCGTTCTTCCTCCTCTCTAATCCAATTCTCCGTGTCCTCAGCTGGTTGATGCAGGTCCGGATGTTTCAACCTGTCATTGTTTTAAAAAAAGCTCCTCAGGATGTTTCCAGCACTGACGGCTGCTGTCTGGTGAGGATTTGAATGGATCAGCAGCCATAGTTTTAAAACAGACACTATGAATATAAAAACGCTTGGTGTTCATCATGTTTGTTACTTTTTAAGAGATATTAACAGTAAAACCCTTTAGGTAGATCAACTTCATCAGCTAATTTCAAACATCTGTTATCTCCAAATAATTGGAAGTCTGTCTGTAAGCTGTTTGATAAAACATCTTAAGCCTGGATTAATCAGATCAGTCGATTATTGAAATAATCGTCAACTAATTTAGTAATGGATTAATCATTAAATTGAATATAGAGACGTGCCTTTAGCTGATAGAGCGACTTAAGGGCAGGAGTTATACCAAGATTGTAAAACAAGATATACATTTTTGCATTTAAGATAAAAAAAAACAAAAACTTTTTCATCTGTCAGGGGAAAAGTTTTAGTTTCACCTGGTTTAATTTAGTAAAAAATCTTCTTTAAGGAACTTTTGGCTCCGATTATTAACTGAGAAAATAATCAACAGATTAATCGATTAGCAAAACAATCATTAGCTGCAGCACAAACAAATAAATAAATTAGTGACAATAGGCAATTAAAGTGTATTTCAATTGAATTCAATTTATTTCTATAATGCAAATTTACAACACCTGTCATCTCAGGTCACTTTCCAGTTCAACCAGATCATCCAGTCAGATTGATTCAAAGTTTTCTATCTAAGGAAAACCAGCTGATTGCATCGACTCATTGACTCTTCAGCAATCCCTCACACTAAGCATGCTTGTAGCGACAGTGGGGAGGAAAAACTCCCTTTGAACAGGAAGAAACCTCCAGCAGAACCAGGCTCAGTGTGAGCGGCCATCTGCTGAGGCCCATTGGGGTTCAAGGAGTCAGAGGATGAAGAGAGCACATCCAGTTAGTCACAGTCAGAGAAACAGGACTACACTGGAAAACAGGCCAAGCTCCAACATCTAGCCTGGCCCTAATACCCCATGGTAGTGCTACAAACTGCAGGCAGCAGGATAATAAAAGCCAACATATTCTGCCGGCAGGTTTCTACATTTGAAGTTAATTTAGGCGTTAATAAACTGTTTCAGAGGAGTGATCATAGCGCTCTGCATCAGCAG